TGTGCGAGGATTGAACGATGGATACTGAGGCTACAGTCTTATTCATTCAAGGTTATATACAAGCCAGGAAAAACAAATATAGCTGATCCCTTGTCACGATTATGTAACTATCCTGATAACCCACCAAAAGGAAAAGACCAGCATGTGTACCAAATAGTGGAAAATTCTAGACCAGTTGCTATACCAATGAGTTCCATTGTAGCATATTCAGAAAAAGAACAAGAGAATTACAAAGTGAAAAAAGGTGTCTATCAGAATGACTGGGACGATTCGATTAAGAGTTACAAATTTTTTGAAAACGAGTTGTGTTTCCATGATAGCATTCTACTTCGTAGAAATAAAATTGTAATACCACAGCAACTCTGCAAAAGTGTATTAGATGCTGCATACGAGGGTCATCCAGGTATCGTAGCGATGAAGGGACGCTGGAGATCAAAGGTATGGTGGCCCCGTATCGATAAAGACGTAGAACAATTAATAAAGGCTTGTAAAGGTTGTACGTTAGTGGGTTTGCCAAACCCAACTGCACCAATGAAGAGACGAGAGTTGCCTGCAGCTCCATGGATAGATGTCACAATGGATCTAATGGAACCATTGCCAAGTAACTAGTATTTGTTAGTAGTGGTCGACTACTATAGTCGATACAAAGAAGTAAACAATTACAAAAACATCACAAGCTTACAGATTATTAAAATGGTAAAAGAAATGTTCAGTAGACTTGGTTATCCCATTTCTATCACCGCAGACAATGGCAAGCAGTTCGTGAGTGAAGAGTTTCGATCCTTCTGCAAAGAATGTAACAAAGTTATTTAGTACTGTACTATATTGGCCTCAAATGATCGGCGAAGTTGAAAGACAAAACAGAGATATTTTGAAACGTCAGACAATAGATCGAGAGGAAGGTTTTAAAAGAAATGTTTATGGGAGTATCTTCTAATGTATAACAGCACCCCTCCTTACAGTTACCAGGAGGTTACCGTCTGAACTGTTTTTTCAACGAAAAAGTAGGGATAAAATTCCATCAATAGGTGAAATAAATTACAGACAATCATTTAGATTCAGATATCAGGGATAGAGACAAAATACAAAAAAGAAAAAGGAAAATAGTATGTATATAGGAAACGCAGAGCAACTCGCTCAGATATAATACAGGGAGATAAGGTTTACGTAAAAGCAGTGGAAAATAATTAATACAGACAATACAAGCTGCTTTGTGATTGTTAAGAGTTATAATGAAAAAAAAGAAAAAAATCTTGATAAGAAAGAGATGTAGTGTTTGCATATATGTAGTATACAGTAAATATTGTTATTTGTTTTATTTACTAATAATTTACCATGCACAAATACACAAACATACATTTATATATAAGTCACTGTCTCGAGCGCACCGCGTCAGTTACACGAGAGCCTCGGGCGAGAGTGGACGTATTGTTTAGTTAAAGTGCGTGACGAGCCTGTGTTACACTACAGTGGTTAGAGAAGATAGCAGACATTACATCATACCCTGCAGTTTCTCAACTCTTTCGAATTGTCAGAGGTACCTTCCCGTAAGTTGAGGCTGAAAGTTGGTGTTCCAGTCCTGTTAATGCGAAATCTTGCACACATTGGACGCAATATTGTAAGAGCAATAATTTTGACAGGAAAAGTAAAGGGAGAAGATGTACGTATTAATTTAAATAAAACTATTTTACAGATTTCATCGCGTATATTAACTTATTTTATATTCCCGTCAAAGGTGTTCGACGTCCCAATGTCATAGTTAACCACGCTACCTTCAGATTAATATTATTAATTTTTGGTCTTATCTACGCAGTATGAACTTAGTGCGTTTAAATCTTGCAGTTGTATGCTTTGGTTTATTAGTTATAGAATCTTGTACGTGCCCACAAAGGACGGGAATATTAAAAACGTACTTTACTAAAATACATTGATAAATTATTACCTACAGTTTTAAATAATTACATCTCATTTATTGACAAATTTACTTACATTTTGATACTTACTTTTCATGTCAAACCCATTGATCAGTTTTTCAAATTATTCAAATAGTATGGAGACTAATGAGAACTAAGAGAAAAAAAATTCTTCTATTTCTACTATTCGAAGTACTATAATCCTAAGCAGACGAAGTCGCGAGTAATAACTAGTCTTGTGTTAACTTCTGTTTAGGTCAAATAATTAACATTTGAAATTTACATTCAACACTCGTGTCCGTCCGCTGACTTTGTAAAGGTCGCCGTCACCCCACTCCCGTGTGGGTCGCTCGGCAGAGGGCGCGAGCGCAGGTCGCGAGTGCGAAGTCAGTAGCTTGACAGCAGCGGCGCTGTCGATTAGCGAATTTTTGTGACCGCTGCATCGGTTTCGCGTGGCCAGGTTTTTGGTTTTGATGGTCTAGAATTTGAGTATTTGTGCGCGGTACTTTACTATTGAATTTGGGTTTCGTGTAGACCGCCTCGAATTAGTTTGTCTAAGTTGTACGTTTCGTGACAAGAGGCTTGTATTGAATTTGAGTGATTAAAGTAATTTCGTTTGCAAGTAATTACGTTAATTGTATAGTGATTGCATATTGAAGTGCATTTCGCAATGTTTAACTTGCTTGTGTGACGTGGAACCTTGCGCGCACGCCGAGTGGACATACGGTCTGGGATTTGGTGCTCGCATTCCATTTAGAGGGCGTGGCCCGGGTAACTGTTTTTTTTTTGAAGTTAATGTTGATATGTAACGTCGCGTTAAGTGCCTTTTGTGTGTCGACTGTTTTCTATCGTTTTACGTGTCGACTTTAAGTTGGGCCCCATTCTCTGCTGTCCGTAGATTGGATTACTGATGGGCCCTAGTCCCGTCAACCTTTGTCGGGGCAGCTCAGGGCGTGAACAACTTCAAAAACATTATTTAGAGTAAGATAGACACAATATTGGGATAAAAATAAGCGTAGTAAAGGTGTAAACCTTTTTTATTTTGCAAAAATCTAACCTAATATACCAAAAGTTTTTTAAAATAGTCTTTAGTAAAAAATATACCTCAATAATAATATTTAGAATACGCTTCGGACATTGTTCACGGTAACACTGTTTATGTTGCAAAACTCTCATCCTTGTGAGAGTGTGGAATGCATAATATTGGTCATTTAAATCATACATTTTTTCATGCCCTTTCGTGGTCATGATCGATTTAACATACCTTTCTTAAATTAAATATATTTTCTTATATTCTTATCCGCCACCCCGTGTAGTGGCGGATAAGAATATCCACTACCCCATATCTTCCCGTGGGTGTCGTAAAAGGCGACAAAGGGAAACAGGCAGGAGATGGGCAGCAGCATCTTCCTGGTAACGACAAAATACAATAAAAAACTGCGGTTGCCAACCCGCTCGCCAAGCGTGGCAACTATGGCAATATACCCCCCATAATGAAAGTTACGAAGAGACGGCCCCCAGTCCCCGGCGGCCCCGCTATTCCTGGCTACGGTGGCGACCATGGTAACGGCGGGGCAGGGGGTGCTAAGAATCTCCGGTGGAGGTTCGGTTGCCACCTGAGACGTGGTCCTTCACTGCTGGCCGGATGAGGAAGCTCAAGGTCGCTCAGCGAGCTATGGAGAGGGCTATGCTCGGAGTTTCTCTGCGTGATAAACTCAGAAATGAGGATATCCGCAGTAGAACCAGAGTGACCGACATAGCCCAACGGATTAGTAAGCTGAAGTGGCAATGGGCCGGCCATATAGCTCGAAGAACCGACAACCGATGGGGAAGAAAGGTTCTCGAGTGGCAGCCTCGTACCGGCAGGCGAAGTGTAGGGCGTCCCCCCACTAGATGGAGTGACGACCTGGTAAGATTTGCAGGAAGTCGATGGATGCAGGTGGCTCAGGACCGTGCTTTGTGGCATTCTTTGGGGGAGGCCTATGTTCAGCAGTGGACTTGTGAAGGGCTGTAATGATATATAATTCGCCAAAAAGCCAATATATGTATGTATTCTCACAGAATTCTTAGATAAAAAATAATATTAATTTAAAATTATTTGTACGTAATATATTTGCTTGCTCAGATATAAAAGTATATATGTTTATCTATAATCGATAAAATCTAGAAAGTTTGGGTGATTATCAGAAAAAAATTTTACTTTTTCTTCAACTTCGATTTAATTTCCGATTGATTTTGTTACAAGTTCGTTAATTGTGTGTAATGAATTTGAGTTATTTGATTGGACGTTGGCAGTAATTTATAAGTTGCCAAAATAACATTGTATGTTTTATTTTACTTCAATTTAATGTATTTGTAACACACGTCTCTGTATATAAAAATCAATTGATGTCCGTTAGTCTCACTAAAGCTCTATAATGTGTTTGAGTGGGTCCCTGGGTAATCTAAACGATTCACAATTGGACCCGATAGGTGGAGCTGTTGTCGAAATCCAAAAATCACCGGACCGAAACTAGCGATACGGCCCGGATCGGAAACCGGACCGTATCGCTAGTCATTTATAAATTTTATCTTTCTGCACTCTTCCTCCATATAAACTTTAACTTTGCCAAATCTCACACTCCTCCGTGCGCGCCATATTTATAAAAAAGGTACACTTTTCTTTCACGTATAAATATATGGATTTTTAAGCTATAAAAAAGTTTTAATCAAAGGAATTTACAATTTTTTTAATTTATTAATAAACACATAAAAAAATCAAGATTACATTATCGTAAGTATTCGTTGTTTACAATAGTAGATATAGGGGTTTCAAGTGGAAACAGACATAACGTCTGTTATATTCCTGCCAGAGTGTGAACTCTGGTTTGATGATGGCTTCAATGGTAGAAATATATCTCCAAAACCAGAATTTTATATTTCTTTTCGTTTGAAACCCACAGAGCAGATCCATGTATGCGCCTTCAAAAATAAACATATAACGAGTATCTTCATTGATCCTTTTTTTTTGTAGTCTCTGGCTATTTTCTACTGTTTCGTTAATGTTAAGAAATTGTAAAATTAAAAAAAATAATTACATTTTCACAGGGCGTCGCATAGCTGAGTTGGAGTTGGAAGCGTTCCTTGCTCGTGTCGTTCAGAACTTCCACATAGAGTGGTATGGAGAACCACTTAAACAATATCAAAGCTCTTTGAATTACGTAAAAGGGCCTTTTAATTTTACCTTTAAAGACGTATGATATAAAATAATTGGATCAAGGGCAATAAGTATAGTTTCATTAATGGTAATAAGTATCACGGTAAGACTGTTTCCAAGTGATATCTGAGATTTATATTTTATAGTATATAAGTTGATTGTATTTATAGAAAAACTAAAAAACTAAATTTTATATTTTAAAGAATTTGGTTTTGTTTGCAAAATTGTTTATATAATAATCATTTTTTTAATAAAAAATCTTATAAGTTATTATATTTATTATTTTACCCTTTATATTTGATAAAAATCGATACACGAATCGAAGGACAACGTAAGTCAGAATACACTATTTTGCGATTTTATAAACATTTGATCAGAAATCATTGTAAGTGCATGTTATTTCACTCAACTACAAATAATAGTTACTAAAACAAAACTGTATTTACAATTACGTTTAGAATTTTAAAACGTTCGCAATGCGCAATCACATCAACTCGGGAACTTTTCAGATATGCCAGTTTTCCTTCACCGCCGAGGACGTGGTAAATGGACACTTCAAATTGCAATTAAAACATAAGCTAAAATAAATAATAATGCTTATGTACTATGAAATTTATGTTTGGATCAGTGTGAATACCGTCTTTGACAAATAATGTTTTTTTGATACTCAATAGTTAAAATTATAAAAAAAATCACAGGTTCAACCATTGGATGAATGATTTGCTTTACATGATTATGTTAACATAAATATAAAAGTAATTACATTACATTTGATACTATTTATTAATTAATTTTAAAATTTAAATGAATAAAAAACAATGAAATGTGTCACTATTTATTTGTTTGAAATATTGCTAGGCCATTATTTAAAAATGTACATAATAAAACGTTAGTTATTATTCAATATATTTATGTCATAATTAGATTTCTAACATACTTAACTCTTTTCTCAAATTCTATATCCACTAATGTTTTGTTTACGTTCCATTTTTTTGTTATTTTTTTAATTACTTTAAATGATTTCCAAAAATATTGTACTTCGTATGCCAACAGGGTAGGACATAGTTGAACTTGATTATATAATAATGTGTCTAACATCTATGTAATACCTATGATCCACGAAATAAATGATTATGATTATGATTATGAAAATAAAATAAAACTTTGTTTAAGGAAAATCTGATATCTTTGATAACTAAAGTATTTTGACTTGATCATTTACATAAACTGAAGTAACCTATGAAACAAGGACTGTCACACAAATCTTAATTTGTCTGAAAATATCAAAGCTATCTTAAATGACAAACGGATTTATAAGTCTCAATAAAGGTAAAAATTAAAGTAGAATAGAATAGAATAGAATAGAATGATTTTTATTCAATATGGATTATTACATAATACTTATTGAAAGTCATTATTTTAATTACCACTGGTTCGGAAAATACCTCTGTCCTGGGAAGAACCAGCAAGAAACCCAGCGGGACCTTACTTTTAAACATAATTTCACTTAACAATAATTTTGTTTATACAATTTTAAATGAATTTTCATAGAACCAGCATGGTGGCGATCACCTTATTCCCAGGGGTTATTTTCATTCATGTATTCCTTGATATTATAATAACCCTTTTTGTACAGTTTTTCTTTAATAAAACTTTTAAACTTGTTTATTGACAAACTTTGAACATGTTCTGGGATTCTGTTGTAAAAGCGTATACATTGCCCCATAAATGAATTACTAATTCTGTGGAGTCTTGTAAGTGGCATTACAAGCTTATGTTTGTTCCTAGTGTTTAAGGTATGAACATCCTTATTCTTATTAAAGCTATTTATGTTTTTATGTACATACATTACATTTTCATAAATATATTGCGATGCCAAAGTTAATATGTTTATTTCTTTAAATTTTTCTCTAAGGGACTCTTTACAATTTAGATTATAAATCGCCCGTACGGCTCTCTTTTGCAAAACAAATATAGCTTCAATATCAGTCGCATTACCCCATAGCAAAATTCCATAAGACATTACGCTATGAAAGTAACTAAAATACACTAACCTAGCTGTCTCAACATTTGTGAGACTTCTAATCTTTCTTACAGCATATGCTGCAGAACTAAGTCTGCTTGCTAATTTAGATATATGGGGGCCCCATTGAAGTTTCGCGTCAATAGTAATACCGAGAAAAACAGTGGTATCCACAAGACTCAACTCCTCCCCATTTAAGAGCACATTGGTTTTCGAATGTTTTACATTAGGTATTGTAAATTTAATACATTTTGTCTTATTGCCGTTTAAGAGCAAATTGTTGGCGTTAAACCAATGTACTAGTTTTGATAGAGCATTATTTACATCGTCATATTTAATTGACTGCCGTTTCAGTTTGAAAATTAAAGAGGTATCGTCAGCAAATAATACTATATCGTGATTGTCCCCTACAAGATAAGGTAAGTCATTAATATAGATTAAGAACAGGAATGGGCCAAGAATCGAGCCCTGAGGAACGCCCATTGATACTACTGATCCGGAGGAACATTTACCATTAATGAAGACTTTTTGAGTTCTGTTACTTAAATATGAAGTAATAAGTTTAAGCGCCAAATTTTTTACACCGTAATGTTGTAGTTTTCTGATTAATGTATCATGATGAACACAATCGAAAGCCTTGGAAAGTTCACAGAAAATACCTAAGGCATCTTTTGAATTCTCCCAGGCATTAAAAATATATTTCATAAGCTCAACACCGGCGTCAGACGTCGAGCGACCCCTTGTAAAACCAAATTGATTTTTATGAAGTAATTTATTTGTATTAAAAAAAATTAACAATTGATCCAAAATTATTTTTTCAAAAATTTTACTGAGAGTTGGTAGTACAGAAATAGGTCTATAATTAGCGGGGTCCAATGTACTACCAGATTTAAATAAAGGTATTACTTTTCTATACTTCATTAAATCAGGAAACACACCAGAATCGATACAAGTATTAAAAATAATAGCAAGATGAGGTGCAATTAAATCTATTATGGACGCAATAACTTTAACGGAAATCCCCCACAAATCTGCGGTTTCCTTTACATCAATGGTTTTGAAGTATTTTACAATATAATGCGGTAATACTTTTTCAAATCTAAATTATTTTAAACAGGTATTAACATTCTGTTTAAGTAATGATTCGGCGACAGTTGAAGAAGCATTCAATGACTTTGTTGTCAAGATAGGAACATCAGTGAAATATTTCTCAAACACCGCTGCAACGTCTTGATTTGATTTAGTCAATTCATTATTAATTTTTAATTGATAGTTTGAATTACGAGGTTTCTCTTTACCGGTTTCGCTGTTAATTATACTCCACGTCATTTTAATTTTATTCTTAGCTGTCTTAATTTTGTTACTAATATGTAATGATTTGGCTGTGGAGCAAACTCTTTTAAACATTTTAGAATAATTTTTTACATATTCTTTAAAAGCATCGGAAAGATTATACGATCTTTCATGGTAAAGGTCATATAACCTTCGTCTGCTTTTATGAATTCCTACTGTCGCCCACTCATTAAATGCCTTGCGACTGTTTCTGGAGAATGTTTTAGAAGTGAATGTTTTATTAAATTCATTGTTTATAAAGGTAAATAATTCTCTATATAAATAGTCTGCATTGTTCTTATAAGAAAGGGACGGAAGGATTTTTAACATATTACTTCTAAATCTCTCCAGGCGTTTTGCATTAATAGGAACAAACACAATTTTCTCATTTACCTGTTTTTTGTGCATATAAGGTAACGAAACCAGTTGTCCACAGTGATCTGAACTAAGTTTTTGTATTATTGATTTGTTGATTGGTACAACACCTGTAAAAATATTATCAATACAAGTTGCACTACACCCTGCAATACGTGTAGCTTCAAAGAATAAATTATTAAGATTATAGGATTTGAACAAAGAACAGAATTTAATACTGATGGAAGAAGTTTCCAGGAGATTGATATTAAAGTCTCCACACACTGCAAGAGATCTATTCTGTTTATTAAGCTTAATTAAAACTTCTTCCATAATTTTTTCAAAAGTATCATAACTTGAACATGGGGGTCTGTAAACACTGACAACAATAAGGTGCTCAAGCTCAACACATGCCATTTCTACAGTACGCTCAACAGAGAGGCTCACAACGTCTTTACGTTCTTTACATGATAAGGACTTATTAGCTAATATTAAGGAGCCACCACGTAATTTAGTATCTCTATTGAACGAACTGACCACCTGGTGATTACTGAAATTAAATATGGAGTTGTATTCTTTCAACCAATGTTCTGTAATACATAAAATATTTATACTGTTACTATTTAAAAATAAATCAATTTCTAATTCTTTGCCTAACATACCTTGTATATTTTGATGCACCAGGTTGATACAGTTTTTATTATTGTTATTTTGTAAAATTGCATAATTATGTATTGGTAAGTTGCATTCTAAGCTATTTAAATTATCTTTGCTAGAGATTACCTCTATTGTCTTATTATCTAATTTAAATTACTTGGAACTGGTTCCAAATCAAATATAAAATTATTCTGTTCCTCAAAAGAAGCAGGTGTCAAGGTAGCCAAATCATTGGCTGAGTTAAAATATAAATAATAAGATAGCGTATTTGCTACCAGTCTTAAACTATACTTTGATAGGTAATACCTATCTCTTGTCAAAAACTTCTTAGTTAAATTATTAATATCAATTAAATGAAATTTATCATTATTATTCTTACAATTAAATGTCAAATTTAAGTTATTGTTACATGTCAAGTTATGCATCATTAAATTTAAATTGTCTTAGTTTATTTTCCTGTGGCCACCCCTCTATGTAAGGCAATGTAAACAAGATAACTTTAACCACATTTATGTTATTGAGATATTCAATATATTTTAATAATTGATTCTTGTTCATATTGCCTCTTCTCCCAACAAAAATTATTAATATACTATTAGGGTTAAATTTACTAGTTAAAATTTTATTCATAATATCACTGAATGATGCTCCAGGCATGCAGTAATTACTTATCTGTT